GTGACGACGCCCACATCAGGTGCTGCTGTGAGGATGTCAGGGGCTGATGTCTGTGCAGCGGGCACGTTCACCACGCTCAGTTTGGCTTCTCCCTGCCTGCTTTCGTTTCCTTCCAGTTGCCAAGCCTTCCCCTGGAAATGTCCCAAGGGCCTAGGAAGCGTTATTATTACAGGCCCTATCTTTCCAGGCAGGACATAATTTTGACAGTCCTTCCATCTTGCCTTTCTTCATTCTGTTTGGCAGCTATTCACTGTGCATTTATTATGGATATCTGTCTCCAGGCCCTATAGTCTCTGGAGTCGATCAGTCAATTAATTAATTAACCAACATAGCCATGCTTTCATGCATTCATTTGATAAACATGAATCTTCCAGGCTCTCTGGGCTGTGAGGTGTCAGTTTCAGCCTTCTTTGTTCCCCCCCGGGTCCTGGCCGTGTTCTGTGTAGCTGAGGATTCTGAGTAAGTGGGGTGTGATCGAGGGACAGGGCTGCTGCTTTCTCACTGGTCGGTGACCCTGCCATTATTCGTTGCCTTTTTCTTGAGGGCATCACCAAGCTCCCCTAGTTCCTAATAAGTAGGCTAGGCTTGGGCTCAAGACTGTATCACAAGCCCCCCAGGTGAGTCTGATGTAACCTCTTCTTTCTGTGGGATAGTCTGAGGCTCAGAGAGGGATAGTGACTTGTCTGAAGTCACACAATAAGTCAGGTTCTGAGGCCAGCCTAAAACTGGGAGCTCTTAACTTCCCACCCAGGGTGCCTCCTGCTCTGCCAGGTCCCCTCACTGCAGGTGTCCCCACCTCCCTGGGTGGGCTGCTAAGTTTCTTGAGCAAACACCCACTTTTCTCCTGCATCTGGTCAACAGGGTTGTCTATGAGAATGCCTTCTGGCTATGTGCAAAAATAAATGCAGCTTGCAGCTTTCTCTGAAGGAGGGCGTGTGTGTTTGCATGTGTGTGTGTGTGTGTGTGTGTGTGTGTGTGTGTGTTGTGTGTATTGTTTGTGTTGTTTAAGGCAGGGCACTTGGTGCCCCCTTATCAGCAGGAGAACAGAAAGGTGAAGACATGGAGGACAAACCAGGAGGGGGACCACAGTGCTCACCGTTGGGGAAATGATGATCCACCCTTTGTCCTTTCCTCTGCCTGACCTTGAGCTCCCGCATCCTCCCCATCACAACATTACCCTGACCTTGAGCTCCCGCATCCTCCCCATCACAGCATCACCACCATGAACACAATAGCGACAATACCAGTAACATGTTAATGACAGAGCCCTTGCCGTCTACCAGTCCCTAGGCTAACCAGGGCCTGTGGATGACAGATTTTAACTTCATCACAAATCAAAATGCCGAACCACTGCTCCTGACCGGGGCTACCTAAAGCGTGGTGCCAGCCAGGCAGCGTCAGTGCCTCCCAGCAACTTATTAGAAAAGCAGATTCTCAGGGGTCTACCCCAGATTTACTGAATTTGAATCTGCATTTTGGCAAGACCTAGGTGAGTTTTGTGTACATGAAAATTTGGGGAACCCTTGCACCACCATAGCACCCCGATTTCAATAACAACCCATCACTATAACAACAGCTACTACTTGTGGGGAACTTTCTATGTGCCAGGGGCTTGGCACACAGAATCTCATTTAATCTTCATCAGCTTTCTGGAATGAGTATGATATTATTACCTCTATGTGACAGATGAAGAAACTAAGCCAGAGAGGTTAAGTAATCAGCTTGAGAACACACAGCTTGGAAGTGGCAGAGGAGGGATTTGAATCCAGCCTCTCTGAGCCCCTAGGCTTTTCTCCTCTGCTGCATTTCTCATCTTGTGTAGGTGCTGACAGACAAAACGTCTGCTTCCCATTTCCTCTCCCCATATAGCCACTGGATTTCTGGGGGAAGAGACTGCATCTGCTCTTATTCAAGTTTCTGTATTCATTAAACCAGCCCCCTGGCTGGAGGTGGAAGGCCACTTTGGAATCAGTACAGAGGGCACCTTCCCAGGCCCCTCCAGATCTTGTCTAATCTGATGGAATCAGAACCACTAGAACCTCTGGGATGGTGCCTGGATACTAGCAAATTTCGAGGGGATCTCACTGCCCAGTAAAATTGGGGACCCAGTGCCTCAGATCGCACAGAGATTGCAATGCCCATTTTATTGTTAAGGGCGGTGAGACCCAGAGAGTTTTTCTGTCAATTTCCCCAGGTTTGAATCTGGCAGATGAACTTACAGGAAGGAGCACTGGCTTGGGAGTCAGGCAGCACTGGGCTCAACTTCCTGCTCCTCTTCTCCAAGGTTAGAGCCGTATTTGGGTCTAGAGCAGGTTGGCAAACTGTAACCCACAGGCTAAATCCGGCCCACAGACTGTTGTGTGCAGCCTGCTAGCTAAGAATGGTTTTTACATTTTTAAATGGTTGAAAAAAAAAAACAACAAAAGAAAAATATTTTGTGACACATGAATATTATGTAAAATTCAAAGTTTAGTGTTCATAAAGACTTACTGGAACATAGCCACGTTCATTTATTTATACATTGCTCATGGCTGTTTTCATGTTACGAAAAGAGGGCTGAGTAGTTGCAGCAGACGCTGTGTGGCCTGCAAGGCCTAAAATATTTTCTAGTTGCTTACAGAAAAAGTAGGCAAGCCCTGGTCTAGAGCAGCGATTCTCAAGCTCTGGCTGCAACAAAATCACCTGGGCAGGTGACCGCTGGGCTCCTCCCTCCGATTTTCTGATTCAGCCAGTCTGAGATGGGGCCAAGGATTTGCATTTCTGATCAGTTTCCAGGTGATGCTGATGCTGAGACCCCAGGCTGAGGACACTGGTTTAGAGGAATCTCGGACTTGAAAGCTGACCTCACCACCACCCTGGAAGTTCAGTGCCCACCCAGAGAGTGGGAAGGGCTGGGGGACGAGAGAGCAGGGAGGGAGGAGTTTCCACCATCCCGCGTAACCACCCGCCCCTTCTCCAGGCTGTCCTTGCCTTGGTGTCTGCTCCCCCCTGGTGGCAGCAAGCCTGGAGCAGCCTAGAGCTCTGACCGCCCATCCCTCCATTTGGAAACACACTTCAGAGCCTTCAAAGGGTGCATATCCTTTCACTGGGGGAGTCCACATGTAGGGGCTTCACCCAGGAAAAGCGTCAAGGATCTGCACCAGGACATCACTGCTGCACTGTTTATTTGTATGGGGGTGAAAGAGGAAACCCCTGTACAAATAAACAGGAGACCAGTGCAGTCACTTGACGGGAGCCACACAGCTAGTGAGAAGCCCAGGCAGGATTTGAACTCAGGTCTAAGTCAAGAGCCAGTGCCCTCAACTGCCACCTGCACCGCCCCTCGGGGATCCTTCTGTCTGCAGTGACAGAGCAGCAGCTCCAGAACTGACCTGCCGGGTGTGGAACCTGGTTCTGTTACTTAACTAATTGCAGAATGCTGGGCAAGTCATTGACCTGCTCTGCCTCGGTGTTCCCATCTGTAAAAGGGGAGCATGATTGCAAAGGTTACACGGGTTAACATGAAGACATAGAACCGTGCGTGCTGCGAGCTGTTGTTACCGCTATTTATTACACCCCCACCTTCCTGCATCTTGGCCCTTTCCTCTCCTTTCCTCTCTCAATCGACTCAAAGCATTGTGGGCCACTGGGAGGGGCGTGTGGGTCAGGATCAATGGGCGTAAAGAAGCCAGGACTCATACTGTAGTCAGAAGGGAGTCAGGCAGCGCTGGGCCCACCTTCCCGCTCCTCTTCTCCAAGGTTAGAGCCACATTTGGGTCTAGAGCAGGTTGGCAAACTATAACCCATAGGCTAAAGACCCTGTCTCAAAAATAAATATAAATAAATAAATGTGAAGAGTTGAGGCGCATGCACGTCTGTGTGGAGCCAGGCATGTTGGACTGTGATGGGATTAGGGCAGGTCACCAAGGCCGGGTCCCAGGCCCAGGAGATAGAGCAGAAGCAGCACCCAGTGAATGGAGTCCTGAGTGATGGGCCAGCCAAACAGGAGGCTGGGCTGGTGCCATAGGCGGGAATATCTTAAATCCCTCCCACCTCAGGTCAGGATTGGTTGAGGGTCTTGATGGTGGGGCTAGTAGGAGAGGCTGAGGGGAGCAGGTGCAGAGCTGGGCGGGACTCTGGAGTCCTAGGCCTGTGGTCTCAGCCAATCCAGCAATGAATCTTTACTGAGTGACTGCTGTCCATCGTGGGTTCTGTGCTGGCTCAGAAGTGAGCAGGGTGTGGAGCTCCAGCCTAGCTGGGGAGATAGGATGAGAAGCCAGATGCTGGCTGTGCACGCTCCGGGGTTAGAGGAGGCCAGAGGAGTGAGCGTGCGAGAGCTAGGTTGGTCTGGCTTCAGGGAGGAGGGGTGGCTTGAATGAGGTTTTACAGGATGGGTAGATGGGCAGAGTGGAAGGCTTCTAGGTGAAGGGCACGGAGGTGGGCTTGTTTAGACGACAGAAAGTCCTAGTAGAGTGAGGCTGGGAGGCCAGGTTCATGGGCTAGGACTATATCTGGTGGACACTGGGGAGCCACTGAAGGTTTTGAGCAGGGAGTGACATTTGCTCTAACTGGATGGCTGAGCTTGTGCTAGGCTGGGAAGATACTGGGAGGAAGGCATGTGGGGACAATAAAAAAGGGAAAAGTTACTGTTTCAAGGTCATGTAAAGCTTTGGAGGAGGACCCCTTGATCCTTGGTAGGGGTAATGGGAAGGGACGAGCACAGAGCACCTTTCAGGGCTGGCCTAGGTAAGTTGCCTTTAAAAGAGGTTTCAGGTCATCAGTGGGCAGAGCTGCCCTTGAATCCGAGCCCTGCTATGAGATTGTGGAGAATCCCTGCATCCCTTCTGATCTCCAGTTTGCTCTTCCGAAAGCTGGGCACGATGCGCCCTCTCTCCCAGGAAGAGAATGAGGATTAACAGGAGAATCAGGAAAAGGTGTACCCTACTGCTGGGAGCGCAGTGGGTGTTCGACCCCCGCCTCCCACTGGGTGGCTGGCACAGAGCAGGACTCGGACAGAGGCCTTCATTCATTCATGGTTCATTCATTCATGTAACCAACACTCTGAGCCTGGCACTTACGGTGTGCCAGGTGCTGGGACACAGAGTTCAATTAGACCACTGTCTCTTGGCCTTGAAGAGTTGATTTATTCACTCAGCAACATTTACCAAGCCTTACTGTGTGCATTGGCTGGGCAAGGGGTGGGGCTGGGGATAGGGTGCGAGTTGCTGGTGGGGCGAGTGGAGGGGGGCGTGGGGGTGTGAAGCAGCTCCACAGGTCAGGCCTCCACATCTGGAAAGAGCAGGAACCCGGAGAAGATGCTGTTGGCACCCTCTAAGCCCACTAGCGAGTTCTTGTCGGTGGCCTGCAGGAAGACATTCTCCCCCCGCTCCAGCTTGAGGACCAGGCCACCGGTGGTGACCTGGTAGGTGTTGTAGGTGTAGTCGCAGAAGGTGACCACCTTCTGTGCACGCTCCCGGCCACGCATGAGGTTCAAGCACAGGTTTCCTCGAGAGCTGGCGTGGTAAGTGAAGTAGTAGAGGCCGGACACCTTGCAGGTGAACTTGCCGCTGCGGGGCTCATAGTTGTTGTTCACGTTGGTGATCACGTGGTCGAAGCGGACGGTCTGGTCCCGGCGCAGCGGGGTGTTGATGGTTCTTGTGGCAGAGAAGGCAATTTTCTCGGTGGCCTTGTAGTCTCCCGATTCACCTTTGGGGCCCGGGGCTCCAGGGGCCCCAGGGCCACCTTTAGGGCCGATGGGGCCCTTGGGGCCGACTTTTCCTGGATTCCCAGGAATCCCTGGGTCTCCCTTCTCTCCAAACTCACCATGGTTTCCAGCCAGCCCTGGAAGCCCTGGAAAAGCAGAGACCGAAGAGATGACATCACTGAGACCAAAAGAAAAAGGCCCATGCTGGGGCCTTGGGCAGAGCCCAGCCCCTCTCTGGGCCTCAGCCTCTCGTTTATAAAACAAAGAAGGCAGTGTCAGAGAGGGGCTCTGGGTCTCCCTCTAGCCTAGCTTCCTGAATCTGTGATATGCTTGAACTTCATGGGGACTGATGGCCGTGGGGAGCGGAATGACTGCTTGCTGAGGAAGGTGCTGGGCTGGCCCTCCTCCCAGGCTTGCGTAGGGGTCCTTGTTCAGGCTAGAGCGGGGATAATGAGTGCTGTCCCTCTCCACCCCTCCCCCCTGGCAGGCATCCCTAATTAATCGTGGCCTTCAGTCTTGCTGCCCCTGGAAATGGACTTTAGAATCTTTCTCACTCCGCCCCCACCCCCCGAGCAGCCACTGCCCCTTGGTTTGGCACAACAGAAGATAAAAGCAATTTTCGTAGAGTGGTGGAGACTAGGGCCTGAGAACATGGGCTCTGGGGACAGACAGGTGTGCTTCATATGTCACATCTGCCATTTGTAGAGGTGTCACCTTGGCTGAGTCACATTTCTTGAGGCTCAGCCTCCTCATCTGTCAAATGGGGATGAAGATATTTTGGGGGATTGTGAGGATTAGATGAGGTTATGTGAGGATAGTGACTGGCACAGAGGGTTGCTGTATAACCTTAGGTTAAATGAATGAATAAACCACAATTTATAGAGGGGTTTTCATGGTAGGGAGTCTCATTTGAACCCTATGACAACCCCACAAAATACTGTGGTCCCCATTTTACAGGTGAGGAAATAGCGAGTCAGAGAGAAGTCACGTGCCCAGGAGGCGAAGTTTCACACCAGGACTGTCTGGGAACAGCGGCACTCTCTCCACCTGAATTTAATAGTAAGAGACCCGTGGTCTGGTCTCAGCCTCAACATTTGCTGAGCTACCTTGAGTAAGTCAGTAGCCTTTTTGGAAGCCAGTTTTCCTGCCGGTCAAATGGGAATCAGAATTCCCTCCCTGCAAAGTTACTGCAAGCGTTCAGCAAGCTGCTGGATCTGCCTGTGCTTTTGCGGTCTCAAAGTTAGGCAACTGTGACTTGGGAGGCAGGAGATGGGAACTTGGTCAGTATTACTAGTGTGTCCCTAAAGCCCATGGTACCTTTCTGTCCTTTTATCCCTGGGGTCCCAGGTTGGCCGTCAGAGCCAGGCACCCCAGGGATACCCGGGATGCCAGGGATGGCTGGGTGCCCAGTGCAGCTGCCCTGGGCCCAGGAGACATCAGGCAGGCCCAGGAGTAGGAGCGACATCAGTACTGGGATGCTGCCCCACAGGATCTTCATCATCATACCAAGTCAGATGCCTCCTGTGGAGGAGAAGACAATGTGAGAGGTGATGCTGTTATCCTTGCATCCATCCATCCACCCATCCATCCATTCATCCATCTATCTGTCCATCTGTCCATCCATCCGTCCATCTGTCCATCCATTCATCCATCCATCCATCCATCCATCCATCCATCCATCCATCCATCCGTCTGTCCATCTGTCCATCCGTCCATCTGTCTGTCCATCCAGCCAGCCAGCCAGCCATCCCTCTATCCCTCCATCCCTGCATCCATCCATCCATCCATCTATTCATCCATCTCTATCCCTCCATCCCTGCATCCATCCATCCATCCAGCCAGCCAGCCATCCCTCTATCCCTCCATCCCTGCATCCATCCATCCATCCATCCATCCATCTCTATCCCTCCATCTCTGCATCCCTGCATCCATCCATCCATCCAGCCATCCATCCATCTATTCATCCATCTCTATCCCTCCATCCCTGCATCCATTCATCCAGCCAGCCAGCCATCCTTCTATCCCTCCATCTCTGCATCCATCCATCCATCCATTCATCCACCCATCCATCCATCTATTCATCCATCTCTATCCCTCCATCCCTGCATCCATCCATCCATCCATCCATTCATCCATCTCTATCCTTCCATCCCTGTATTCATCTATCCATCCCTCCCTCCATCCTGCTGTCCATCCATCCATCCATCCATCCTTCCATCCCTGTATCCCTCTGTCCATCCATCCATCCATCTATCCATTCATCTCCCTATCCTTCCATCCCTGCATCCATTCATCCATTCATCTATCCCTCCCTCCCTCCCTCCCTCTGTCCATCCCTGCAACCATCCATCCATCCATCTCTCCATCCCTCTATCTTTGCATCTATCCATCCCCCATCCATCCATCCATTCATTCATTTCTCTATCCCTCCATCCCCGCATCCCTCCATCCATCCATCCCTGCCTCCATCCTGCTGTACATCCATCCATCCATCCATCCACCCATCCATCCATCCATCCACCCATCCATCTATCCATGCATCCTTCCACACCTACATCCCTACATCCCTCTGTCCATCTATCCATCCATCCACTCATCCATCCATCTCTCTATTCCTCCATCTGTCTCTCCATTCATCTTTTCACCCACAATGTTCACTGATTGTTGCCTATCTACCAGACCCTGTGCAAGGTTCTGGGGATTCAGTGAAGAACAAGACAGACACAGTCTCTGCCCTCATGATCTTGTGCCCCTGGTGGAGAAACAGATATAAACAGGTCAGCATAGAAGTAAATAGAAGTAGTGATAGACTATGTTGGCACTCTGAAAGAAAGGGAAAGGTGCTGGGAGGCAGAGTCACTGGGCTGGAGGTGGAAGGAAGGTGGCGGGTTTTGGGAGGGATGTCCTCCCACCAGGAAAGTCTTCTCCAAGGGGAAGCCACTTCGGAAGTGATGATTAGGCTGAGACCTAAAGGTTCAGAAAAGGTGGGGGCAAGAATGTTCCAGGAGGACAGAAGAGTGCGGAGAAGGCCCAGAGGTAGGACAGGGGTTGAAATGTTGAGCATCAGCAGGAGGCCAGCATGGCAGAGGGGAGCGAGGGTTCAACGGACAGGATGCAAGACTGGAGAGGCAATTAGGCTACTGTGGGTTTGGGGTTTTATTCCCCCAAAGCTCTTGTTCAGTAGAGCTTCTGAATTCAGGGTGCGATGCCACTTATGAGCAGGCCACCTTGCATGCTTCGAGCATCCCGGCATCTACTGTGATTCCTACACCAAAGAGGACACAGGGAGGCTAAGTCACTTGCTCAGAGTCACACAGGAAGGAATGAAGCCGAGGTCCCTGCCAGTGTACCAGGCCGTCTCTGCTGCTGGAACATTCTCAGAGCTGTGACTCTGGCAGGAGAGCAGTGCTGGCCGCTTTTAAATCCCAGAGAACTAGGAAGAAGCTGGTGGGCTGTCTCAAACTGGTCAGCATGGCCAGTGTCCCATGCTGTTAGCTCTTGGGACAGAGTGGCTTTAAAGTCCATCCAGTTTAACCCTCAGCCTATATATTTGTAATTGAGGCAACATTCCTACAACATAAATTTAACCAATTGGAAACGAGCATTTTAGCGGTATTGAATACATTCACAGTCTTATGCAACCATCACCCCCATCTAGTTCCAAGACTTTTCATCACCCCAAAATAAAACCCTATGCCCATGAAGCAGTTTCTTTTCCACCCCACTTCCCCCAGCCCCTGATAAACACGAATCTGCTTTCTGTCCCTATGGATTTACCTATTCCTATTATTTCGTGTAAATGGAGTTAAACAATTTTTCATTTAGTGTGATGTTTTCAAAGTTCATCCATGTTGTAGCATGTATCAGTACTTCATTCCTGTTTATAGCTGAGTAATATTCCATTGTACGGATACATGTGATATTGCAAAATTTATATTTGGTCTTCTACCCCTTTCCTGGCAGACAACTCCTAAAATCCTTAGAATTTCCAAAGAGATGTTTTTTTGTATGCTAATGATTGATTGATGGCTGGCAGCCCTAGGTAGCTTCAGGATGGGGCTGGTCACCAGGAAGACCAAGGTAGACTTAGAGAGTTTACCCTCAGCCCCACCTCCTAACCCCTGGGGAGGGGAGTGGGGCTGAAGGTTAAGTTGATTACCAATGGTCAGTGGTTTAATCAACCATACCTACATAATAAAGCCTCCATAAAATCCCAAAAACTAGGTTCGGTGAGCTTCCAGATAGCTGAACACATGGAGGTTCCTGGGGGATGGTATGCCCAGGGACCTGGGTGTGACATTGGCACGCCCCTCCCCCCATACCTCACCCTGGGCATCTCCTCATCTGTATCTTTTGTAGTATCTTTGATAACAAACCGGTAAACGTGTTTCCCTGAGTTCTGCGGGCCACTCCAGCAAAGAAACCAAACCCAAGGAGGGGTTTGTGGGCACAAACCCCAACGTGAAGCTGCTGGTCAGATGCTCTGGGGGTCTGGGCTTGTAACTGTTGTCTGAGGGGGAGCGGTCTTGTGGGACTGAGCTCTCAGCCTGTGGGGTGTGATGCTATTTCTGGGTAGTGTCAGAACTGAATGGAAAGACACCCAGCAGATTTGGTTGCTTGCTTGGTGTGTCGGGGGAAATCCCGCACATTTGGTCACAGAAGTCTTTGTGTTGATTGTTGTGGTGTGAGAGTGGGCGAAACATACTTTGTGTTTTTCCCTTTACAGACTAGATCACAATTTGTTTTGTTTGTTTGTTTGTTTTGTTCTGCTGAGATGGGGTCTCGCTGTGTTGCCCAGGCTGGTCTCAAACTCTAGCGCTCAGGCGACCCTCCTGCCTCAGCCTCCTGCGTAGCTGCGGTTATGGGCACTTGCCACCTCGCTCGGCTGTTTCTTTGTCCACTCATCATTGGTGGGCATTTGGGACATTTCCGCCTTTTGGCGATTGTGAAGAGTGCTGCTACGAACATTTGCGAACGAGGATTTGAGTATCTGTTTTTAATTCTTCGGGGTTTATACCTAGGAGAGGAATTACCGCTTATGGTAATTCCATGTTTAAGTGCCTGAGGACCCTTCAGACTGTTCTAATCTCCTCAGTGACGTCTCTGCCAAGGTCCCCCGTGCGGTGCCTCCTCCCAGTCTCCTGCGGCACAAACGCTGTGTTCACTCAGTCCTGAGAACCAGTCACAACTCCATCTCCACATCACATTCTTTCCTTGGAAGAGTCAAGCTGAACTTTCTCAGCAGAGTATGAGGAAATGACATCTCTGCCAAGGGCTCTTCCACCCACGGTTTGCACCCTTTCAGTGACGGGCAGCTCATTACCTCTTGAGGCAGCCCATTCCACCTTTGCCCAGATTCACATTTTTTTCACTATTCAAGGCCTGGGTCAAAGCCTTCTTCCTCCGGGAAGCCTTCCCTCAGAGGCTGAACTGTATCCTCTTTTAAAATCGGGGAGCAGAGCGGTCTCTGCCCACCTCCCAGAGTGGCCATAGGGACCCAGGTGAGGCCATGGATGGGAAAGAGTCACAAAGCCCCCAACCCTGAGCTCTCGTTGGGACTTGTGGCTGCTTCTGCTGTTACTGCGGCTCTCTGATTCTCACAAGACCCTGGGGAAGGGGGTTGTGATGAATTTCCCATCTCTCAGATGAGGAAACTGATGATCAGAACTTAGAAAGCAACCTACCCCAAGTCACCCAGCAAATGATTTAACGGTAGGGCTGTGGGCAAACCCCTACCCTCTCTGCCTCATGCCGGCTGTACCAACCCCAGGGTCTGGCATGTGGAGGGCTCCCTGGGACCAGAAAAGCCTGCTATTTGGCTCCTATGACCTACAGATTAGCCTCAGCCCCTCAGCCTAGTCCTGATAAATTTCTTCCTCAAAGCCCTGAGCTATGCCAGACCCCGTGCACCGAGGAGAGGAAAGCTGTAAAGATGAGTGTGGTCAGGGTCTGCTGTTGATGGATTTAGACTCCGTCAGGCTCTGTGCTCTGAAGAGACGGTAGCTCAGGGGCGTGGTCCTGCTTAGCCCTGAATAGGCATCCGCTCTCACTCTTGCTCTTGCTGAAGGTTTTACACAATGGCAATTTGACAACGTTAATAAGTTGGGCACTTATGGGTCAGGGTCTGAGCCAAATGGTTTACATGCCTTTATCTCATGTCATTTGAATGCTCAACCCCTGAGAACGCTCTCTGGCTTTCTCATTTTACAGATGAGGAAACAGGATCAGAGAGGGCAAGCACCTTGATAAAGTCACACAGCTCCTATGTGGCTGGGATTCAAACTCATATCCATTAGATCTTAAAACTCAGTGTTACGTTAAGAGGCCACTGTACCTGGTGGTTAAAACATAAACTGTGAAGCCAGATAGCCTGATACAAGGATGAATGAATGGACACGCTAAGAGCAGTGTTAGGCGCATGGTCAGGGCTCGGTGAAGTGGGATTTTACCACCACGCTGATCGCTGCTCTTTGCAGGCAGCAAACATTCACCGGACAGTGGGAGCCTGCAGTGTCCCAAGAAGAGCAGCACCATCCGGATTCACGTCAGCTCTCTGCTGCTTCTTAGCTCAGGGACTGGGGAAATCACTCCTCCTCTCGGGCCACAGTTGGCCCTCCTATAAAGTGGGAATAATGCTACTCTCTCCCTTATAGGGTTGGCTTGAGGACATGAGTTACAGCTTCCAATGGAGCCTGGCATGTTGGCAGTGCTTAATGAATATTAGCTATTTTATTATTCTCACTGTCATCCAAGAATTCCTGAGTGGTTGAACAGAAGGGAAGGGTGGTTGGAGAAGTTAAAAAAAGACAATCCCTCGGAGGGACTGGGCTGAGAGGGAGGGGCTCTGTCAGCTGGAGGCAGCCAGAGGCGGAGCGCTGAGGCCAGCTGGTGCGGGGGGGTGGGGGGGGAGCAGGGCTCTGAAGGGACGTGGGCTTCCTGGAGAAGCCAGGGGTAGCGGGAGTGGGAAAATGCTGGTTCTAACCCATTTCAAAAGCCACCGAGTTTCAGGCTTGGGTTAGGGCTTACGACTCACCTGGTTTACCCGCCTCCTGCCTGTGCCAGCCCATTATCATGGCCAGTCAGGTTCCTCCCGTCTTCCCCCCAGCTCTGGCCTTTCCATCTCCGGTCCCAGCTGTCCCTTCCCCCAACCTGGAGTCAGGCCCACTCTGTAAAGCCCCTTCTGTGCAGCCGGCAGCATAACCTCAGGCAAGTGCCTCGACCTCTCTGAGCCTCTTGGCAATGCTGATTTCAGCCTGACCGGGCTGCCGGAAGGATGACGGGAGAAGGTGCTTAGAAGAAGTAAGGTCCCCGGTGCAGGACCACTTCCCATCCCCCCGCACAAACATCGCATTCACTCAGCACTAGCTAAGAACAAACCCTAACTCCACCTGAACGTCCCTTATTTCTTTGGGAGAGTCAAGCCGAGCTTTCTCAGCAGAGTGTGAAGAAATAAGAGAAGCAAGATGCTGGAGAAACGCTGGGCCGGGCAGGGGCGTCTGGGTTCTAATTCCACTCCGGTGTCTGGTTTACTGATAAATTTTGAGCCAGGGCATGCACTAAGCTTTTGCAAGCTTGATCTCCTGTAGGGCACAGCGGCCCAGAGAGGTTCTGTTCTCCCTAGGGGGGCCGGGCTGAGAGAGGTTAGGTGGCTTGCCCAAGATGACCAACGCATATGATGCAGAGCTGGAGTCAGCTCGAGTCTGTGATGCCAAAGCCCCTAGGCTGCAGGCGTCCACTTGTGGTGGCCTGCCCGTCCGCTGGGCCCTGGGTGGCAGCAGACTCCCCAGACTCCCCAGAAAGATGGGTTCCACAGGTCTGGGATTGGGCCCGGCTGTCTGCAGTGTTAAACAGCCCAGCTGGCTCCAAGGCAGCGGAGGCAAAGCTCACACTTATGGAATCACCACTTTCTCCATATCGTCCTTGCCAGCCTCCCCCAGGTGCCAAGCCCCGTCCTCACCTCGGAAGCTGGTGTCCTGTGATGCCGCTGGGCTGAGCAGCGGTGGGACCAGGAGCCGTGGGTCTGCTGCCCTGGGTCGAAGCGGAAGTTCCCTTCCCCAGAGGCGGGAAGGGCTTCCCCTGACGGTCCCCTCCCGTGGCACGGCAGTCCCCTCCCATGACCCCTTCCCGTGCCCTCACTGTCCCCCAACCCTGCTGCCCTCAGGCAGTTTCAGGTCCCATTTCTGCAACCCACCGGATTTACTGTAAATGAGATGGGTGGGTGTGTGAGTTCAGTTTTGCCGACTCAGCAGCTGTGAGGAGAACATGCAGTCTTGGGGAACCGTCTGCAGCTGGCGGCTCACCCGCCCAGGCACTCTGACCTCGTGATCTTCTTCTACACTGGGCAGGGGTGTTCCGTGAGCATCATGTGGCTGGCCCAGTGCCTGAGCACTGACTTCGAGTCAGAGACTTTGATTCCGATCCCGGCTCTGCCACTTGCCAGCTTACATGTTCTCAGTCAAGGGCACCCCAAGGGAGCCCCAATTTTCTCTGCTATGAGATGAGACCATAATTCTACCTGCTCTACAGATACAGATCTCACGGGCTGCTGGGAGGATAATGGAAGAAATGATGGGGGAGAAAGTGTGTGGGGTAAACTGTAAAGTACTGTGCACGTGCTCATTGTTAATATCACTTCATGTCCCAGGCTTCCCCTTTCTGGGCTCATCTCTTCTGCTTCCTTCCCATTCTGTGCCCCTGCTCTTTCCCTGTTCTCAGAAAACAACCTCATAATGCGTTTTAAATGTGCTCATTATTTATTCATGCCCCTCCCTCTGCTTCCAGCAGGGCTTGAAGCTGATGACAGTAATAGGCCCAGGCAGGGGCCTGTTGCTTCTTCTTGATCCTGGAATCACGCCAAGTTAGGGCTGGAGAGGGGCTGAGATTACTCGGCCCATCCTCCTCATTTTATATACAGGGAAACTGAGGCCCGGAGCGGGGAGCCACCATTTAACGAATATTGTGTGTTCCCCTCCATGTGCTAAGCACTGAAGGGTGAGCTCTTAGCAAATCGGCCACTGTCCCTGTCCCCATGGGGCCTCCCTTCTACAGGGGGAGACCAGTGTTAAACACAGAAGGACATGAGGCTTCATTGCTTCTGTGGTAAATGTCACAGAAAGACGTGACTGCTGGGGCCTATGCCTCATGGAAGTGGCAGACACAGGCCTGGAAGCCGGCATCCCCGGCACTGGGGTATCAGCCTCCCTCTCCCTGTGGCTGCATCTAAGACGTGATGAATGGCGAGCACCAGGAGCTGGAGAGCCTGCCCTCTTGACATCTGTGCCTGGAGATGGAAAATCACCGGGCTGGTGGGTGCGGCTTGGTGGAAATTAAGTGTTAATCGAAGCGGGTGATTAGGAGGGAAAGATAAGCTTGATAAGACCAGAAGGACTCTGAACTCAGTCAACCATGGGCCTAAAGGAACCCGGGCTAGGGGCAGGAGCAGAAGCAGGGGATCCCACAGAGGGAGAAGGGAGTTAGTAGGTTGCAAGTCAAGGGGTTTTGGGAGTTCCCAAAGCCGAGTGGGCCTGGGCCTCTAACTCTTTCTTTCTTTTTTTCTCGAGATGGAGTCTCTGTCTCTCAGGCTGGAGTGCAGTGGTGTGATCTCGGCTCACTGCGGCCTCTGCCTCCCAGGTTCAAGTGATTTTCCTACTTTAGCCTCCTGAGTAGCTGGGACTATAGGTGCAGGCCACCAAACCCGGCTCATTTTTGTATTTTTTTTTGTTTTTAGTAGAAACAGGGTTTCACCATGTTGGTCAGGCTGGTCTTGAACTCCTGACCTCAAGTGATCTGCCTGCCTTGGCTTCCCAAAGTGTTGGGATTATAGGCATGAGCCACTGTGCCTGGCCCCTGTGTCTCGAATTCTTAGGTGGCTAATGGCAATGGGAAAAGGTGGACGTGAATTTGGGGTAGAAGCAGTGAGCAGAGAAAGTAGCAGAGGTGGGTTAAGAGCACGGACTTTGGCAGTTTGAATCCCAGCTCTGCCTCTTGCTAACTATGTGGCCTCAGGAAGGTCTACTGGCCTAGGTTTCCTCGTGTAGAAATGGAAGGCGCAAACACCTATCTCCTGGGGCTGCTGTGGGGCCAGCGAGGTCACTCGGTTATGTCCAGGACCAGGTGAGTGCCCAGCCCTTGGTGGGCACCCACTGCAAACATGGGAATGGTATTACTTACATGAAGAGAAGATGGAATTCTTGGAACCCAGGAGCAAAGAAGCCATGCATGCCTGGATTAGGAGGAGGCCTGGACTTGGGGATCAGGAGCTGAAGGGTCCCTGGGCCTTGACTCCTGATGGGAGCCAGCAGGTGTCTGTAGCCACGAAAGTTTGGACTGGCATCCCTGATGGAGAGTGGAAACCCCAGTCCCTGTAGAGCAGCAGAAGAAACCCGCACCCTCACCTTCTCGTAGTCAGAAAGGGGTTCCTTGCGGCTGGGGCATCTTGTCCCGCCTTCTGCCCCACATCCACCCCTCCTTGCCTGCCCCACCGGAAAACTCTCACCCGCCTCCCCTCAGCAAGGCAGACAAGCTGGCGTTTTCAAAGGCCGGCCTCCCCTGCCAAAGAGAAGGCGGCAAAGAAACAATTACGGAAAATAAAAATGGCACGAAGATGGTTGTTTCCAAAGTACTGGTTTCTGATCCGACACTGTGGCCTGCAGAAACGGGGTATTGATTTTTTAAACAAAAGAGAAATGAGAAGGAAGATGTATCACTTTCGGTGTCACCAGGCGGACGACTAAGGGGCTGGTGGGAGAGAGCAGTGGATGTCGTGGACGTGGCCTTCACACTGTCCCTGCCGGGGACACTGGACTCAGTGAACCGACCGGGTTCCTCGGCCCCTGGCTCCTGCTCTCCCACTTGGATTTCTGTATGTGTATGTATGTGTGTGTCCATATACATGTGTGTATGTGTGTATGTGTGTATGTGTCTGTGTGTATATCTGCGTGTATGTGTGCATGAGTGTCTGTGCATGTCTATGTGTGTGTCTGTGGATGTGTGCGGATGTCTGGATGTCTGTGTGTGTGTCAGTGTGTATGTATGTATATGTATGTGTATATATGTCCACGTATATGTGTGTCTGTATGTTTCTGTGTGTATGCATATATCTATGTGTTGTGTGGATAACGTATTTGTATATATATGTGTGTGTATGTGTATATATGTGTATGTCTGTGCATAAGTCTGTGTATGTGTGTACGTGTATATATGTGTGTGTGTATATCGGTATATTTTTGTATGTGTATATGTGTGTATGTCTGTGCATGTCTGTGTGTATGTGTATGAATGTGTATATGTGTATTTGTATGCAGTTATGTGTGTATGTGTGTGTCTGTCTGGGCATGTGCCTATATATGTATGTGTATATGTGTATGTATGTGTGTATGTATGCATATATGTGTATATTTGTGTATATGTGTGTATATGTTTGTATGCATATATGTGTATGTATGGTATATGTGTGTATGTTTATACATGTATGTGTATATGTGTGTGTCTGTACATGTGCCTTTATATGCATGTGTATATATGTGTATGTGTGTGTGTGTGGGGGGTCTTTCTCTCCCTCCTTCCCATCTTACACACTTTTCATGCCCAGTCATGTGGCAGGTGTGTATGGAAGGGGCCCTGTGCCAAGGATTCTTACCATCTAGAGGGGAGGCAGACGTGTGAGTAAGCGCACAAGAGCTAGTGGGTGGGCTGTGTGTGTGAGATTCCCCTGCAAACCGCCAACCCATTTACAGCCTGGTCTTCCCCAAACCTTTAAAAAAGTTGCGAGATCTGGTTTTGTGTGTTTTGTTTTATATAAGTCTTGAGGTTAATTTTATTCACCACCTGATTTGAGAGCCTGGGCTCTAAGGAGTCAGGAATTTGTGCCCAATTTGTGGAGGGCACCGTGGGGACCCAAGGGGTAAATCGGAGAAGGCTTCATGGAGGAGGTGATGTTTGTGTTGACTCCTGACAGTTGAGTGAATACTATCCAGGTGGATGGATGATTTGCATGAGTGGGAGGGACTGCATGGGCGAAGGCAGGGAGGCGTGACACAGCCCCTCCCAAGCAGAGGAGCCGAAGTGAATGGAGGTGGTTGCAGAACTCAGCTTGAGCCTCTGCTCTCAACAGCTCATGCCTCAGTTGACTGGGGCTTCCATGACTCTGTGGGGCTTTGTGGAACCGAGCTGTGACCACAGCCAGGACCGGCCAGTTTCTCCCAGGCTAGAGCGAGCCTGGAGTCTGACTGGGAGCTGAGAACCGGACCTGGAGTCTGTGTAGGAAAGTTAGACTTTTTATCGTTTTGCACCTGCACATCAAATAGTGGGCTTCCATCAACCTCCACAAGGACCATGGCGGCTGGGTCCGCCCCCCAACAACCTCCCAGTCAAACCTGGTGGCCGGTGGGCAGCAGCGGTTTCAGATCTCCTGGGAGTCCCAGAGCCTGTGAGTTATTTGGGGCAGGTCCAGACTTCTGGGGGGCCAATTCCCTCTCTCTCTCTCTCCCCCTCATGTCCATTTCAGAGCATAATTATGAATGTTAAACGAGTCAATATGTGTAAAGTGCTTAGTGTAATGCCTGGCATATACTAAGTGCTCAATGAATGTTAGCTATTATGATTTTTTTTTCCATTCATTCATTTACTCTGCTTTTAGCCATTTACCTATCCACTTATGCATTCATTAATTCACACCAATTTCTTATTCATTCAGCACAAATTCATTGCACATCTTGTCTTTGTCTGTACTGGGCTTCCCCAAGCCCCATTCCCTCCCATGGTACATGCTCCCGAAGTTCAGCACAGGCCTGGGAAGTCAGACTTACTGCCATTTACCCTGTGAGCTTGGACACCTTTCACGATGACAGTGCCTCTCCCCCCAGACAAGTGACAGCAGGTGATCCCTCGGGGACCTCTGGCAGCCTGTAACCACTCTTAGAACATCTCTCTCCCACCTGGCCAAATGGTGCCGAGTGTCCTAAAACCGGCAGCCAAGATTTCCCTGAGCACCAGCCAGATGTCTTGAGTCCAGAGCCCACAGACAGCTATGGACGACGCCAAGTTGAAGATCCGAAGTTCAAGGAATCAGCAATGAGGAATCTGAGCCAGGCATATTTATTGATTTCACTGTTTATTTATATATTTCCCCACCCCTTCCAATACTTGAAAAAAAAACAAATGGCAGAACCAGAAGGTATTGGTTAAATGTCACGGGAACTGCACAAGCAGTGACTCCTACAGGAGTTCAGAGGAGGGAGAGAACCCATGGAGGGGGCGGTGGTCAGGATGGGCTTCCTGGAGGA